GACCCCAGCCTGAACTTCTGTGGATGCACTTGTTTGAAACAAAACTGTTTTCTTTCACAACAAAGTCCACATCCAAGCTAAGAGTTGCTTCACCTTCCCTCCCCACACCAACGGTGTTTGCACTCTGAGAACATCCCGTGCATCCCTCCATCCTCCCACCCGAGGAACCTTCTGGAGCAGGAAGCACAGCCTGTCAGGAGGAGGTGCTCTGCAGCAGAAATCTTCACTGGGAGGTTAACATTACTAATCTTAGTGTGAGAATGTTCCACGCACGTGGCTCCAGGGTGGAGGACGTACTTCTTCCTTCCTAAACGAGTCTGCTGGGTGAAGTAGTCATAGCGCTCAGACTTTTTCCACATGTAGTAATACTCCACACACTCTCCCACCGACCGCGTGCGAACCTGAGGAGAAACACCTGGTCAGAGCAGCCAGGAGCACCTCCTGGAGCATGGGCTCTTCTCCCACTGAACCAGCAGGGAAAAGTGAGTGCAGCACAGAGATTTGGATGGCTATGGACACAGCTACGCTGAGAACAGAAGCACAGACCGAGATCTCAGAGTGCTGCTCGGCCCGAGGAGCTGCCCACAGTGCACAGCTGTTCTCACAGACCCATCTGGGCCACACACTACACTGGTGCAGGACTTTCCTGCACCTCCAGCAGCAGCACACTTAACAGAGAGAGCAAACCTGCATCCACCTCACTGGCCAGCGTCAACATGCCCACGATCAACCAGTGGTAGAACTGGACTCTCTGGTTCTGCCAACTCCCAGCACAGCAGCATGTCCCGGGGCCCAGCTCTCCCTACAACAGCCTCTGCCATTCTAGAGGACCCCAGGGGACTTTACAAAACATCCACATGCTCAACTCACTCATTCACAGAAGTACTGCAAGGGCTGAGAGTTTGGAAAGAACTTTTGAGACTCCAGAAAGGGCTAATCAGTAATTAACTGACATCACTCATGCAGGTCAGTGGTGTTTGTGACTTCTCCCACCTGGAAAATAAGGCAGAGCAGGGCAGTGAAGAGCCCATCACCTGCGAGCGTGGGTAAGCACACAGCCTGGGATGGGAACAGTCCTGACCTCCCTGTGCACACCACTGGTGCCACAGCACCTGCTCCTTCCCCTGCTCCAGCAGGAGGAGGCTGGAGCAGCCTTACCTTGTTTGCTTGGATAAGGTGGAAGTTTTTCCCATGGACCCTGAAGCCATGTTCAAAATTTCTACATTCTTCCTCGCTCCAGGCACAAAGCTCATCTAAAGCAGAAAGAAAGAGGACTTGGAGGAGGTGTACAGAGTCTGGAGAGAGTTGCATCTGCCTTGCAGTTTGGGGCAGGCCCCAAAGGAGGAGGGTGCTCACCTCTGATCACCTTCACGTTGAAGCGTAACCTCCGCAGTGCCTCTTCTGCGTTGAAGTTGCATTTCACCAGCTCATACAAGGCCTAGGAAACAAGGAAATCACTCAGAGGATGTACCCGAGCAACAGGCCACGAACCAACCTGCTCCACTCACATTTGCCTCAGAAAACCTGTACTTCCCAGGAGCCACCCTGCTGCTGGCCCCAGCCTGACCATCAGCTGAGGTTATGCTGCTTTTCAAGGCTCTGGTATAGAAACTCTGGGAATGGACAGGTCCAGTTCCACTGGCAGCTCTGGGAGTGCCTCCGTGCTCCAGGGGACTCATTGCCAGGATCTAACCTGGCTAGTTTAGAGGAAACACAACTGCTCTGAAATGGCTGATCTGTCAGGGTTTCCCACTCTTCCCAACAGGAGGGTGACCAGACTGGGCAGCACACCCTCCCTCATCTGTGAGGCAGAGCAGGGGAACGTGGCATAGACCTCACTCTGCCCTCTGCAGGGAACAGTGCTGGGCCAGCCCAGGCTGCAGGAGCCCTGAGCTCACCTGCTCGTTGTCCTTGACCACCTCTCCCTCTGGCAGAGAGCTGCCCGCCAGCTCGTCCCACTGCCGCCTCACGGCGCGGTACAGGAACTCCTCCACCTCCCTCTCCGGGAGGATGTTCGGGTCCCAAAGCAGCTGATCTTCATTCTCATAGGCTAACAGAAAAAGCACTGAAATAAGATAATCAAACAGAGAATTCTGCTGCTTTTGAGAAATGGTCTGCACGGACAGGCATGGGGAGACAGAGCAGGGGGAAAGCTTGGGTTGGTACTCCAGCCTGGCACTGGAGGTGACAATCACCTCCCCAGGTGCTGTATTTTCCCTCCTGACTTTGCAGACAGACAAGCTCAGGACTCTTCACACCCCTTTCAGAGCCCTTGGTGCAGGCTCAGCTCACTCCCACTGCTTCAGCAGGGTTGGCTGACAAAGTTCTTGTTACCATGTTGCTCTGATTAATTAATCCTGGCAGCTAAAAAACCTTTTAGCTTTCCTGTCCAGAAGCTCAACAAGCTGCTGCTTGTACTGCACTCGTTATTGGACACAATCTGCAAATCACAGCACCTGCCTACTCTGCAGCCATCCCACCAAATGGGAAACAGATCAGCTGCAGGGAGCCCTGAATGGCAGCAGCGCAGGATGCTTAAGGAAGGTGTCAGAGAGAACAAATTAAGAGTGTCTCCAGGAGGGGAATCTCTTTGGTTGCAGCTAGGAGCTCTCCTCAAACCTGTCACACCAACCCAGTTCTCATTGAGCTTCTCTACCCATGGTAAAGCCCTATTCAACCAGGCTCCTGTACATTGTGGTTTCAGCACTGAGAGGTGCCAAGCCCAGAGACCCAGAGCAGGACAGGTGACCCAGGGCCCATCACACGTCCTGGCCAGCAGCTCTACACCCAGACAGCTCCAGGGACAGTGTCCTACCTTTCTGCCTGTGCCTGTTGAGGCGGAGGATGGGGACAGTGGCCTGGTACTGAGGTCCAACCATGATCTCCTGAAAACCACCACAGAGAGCTGGGTAAATTCAATGGAAAATGCTCCACACAGGCTGTACCTCATGATTTAGGGACTACACCACCACCGGGCCCATTTATTTACTGGCAGCCCCTGCTGTCACGATTATTTCCAGTGAACCCTGACTATTTTATAGGGTAACTACAAAGATTTACTACCAACCAGATGATACTGTGGGGACCTTCCCTATCTACATAGTTTTCGTGTTGGAGATCTATGGCAAGGAGCTAAGGCTGGAGATAAAGCAATGCAGAATCTCTCCTGCAATCTTCACAGCCAGGATGGATTTGGAAGCCTGCTCCTCTCTTTAGTAAGGTGGTTCTCCCTCAGTAAATCCTGCTGGGAATACTGCACAGCATTTCACCTTTATAGGGCTACAGGCTGCAGGTTTAATTTGCCAAGGCACAACAGATTCCCCATATCTGAAGCAGGAGGTGATTTCAAGATTGTATTAAAAACCTCTCTTGGCACTGCTGTCCACAAAACACGAGGCACTGAGCAATGGACTGGGGGACACTGCAGTGCTTTGGGGTCACTCAGAAGTACTGTATGAGCTCCTCCCCCAATGCACTCAGGTCATTTACCTTCTTACAGTCGTTGGATGGGATGGAATCCACCTCTGAATCCTCAGCCATGGAGGAAGCACATGGAGATGAACATGGCTCTTTGTCTTCATCAGCAAGGAAGTTGTTTGCTTTGTGGGAAAGGAAAAAGACCTGTAGTTATACATTTTTTTCCCTGTTGCTCTATGTTCCCTCTCCTTCCCTTTGTTTCTGTCCTGAAGTTCCTTTCAGCCTGTGACAACTTACCTGTACTTTAACTTCCTCAAATAAAAGGATTTACACACTCACCACACCGGTGGCAACAGCCAACCCAGGGAGCTCAGACTCCTTCATTTTGCAGGACAGCAGAAGGAATAACATCACTTCCAGTCCCTCTCATGTTTTGGCTTCCCATGTCCTCCAATATTTAGGAACTGCCACAGTGTATCCCTCCACTAGCACTACTGAATTTGTTCTGACTGAATTTATTCTCTTGTAGTGATATCAGATGAGGCACTGATCTTTCAGACTGCAGTTACAGGAGGTAGCAAAACAGTTCCCACTTCCTCAGTGCTCTGAGTTACACCTAAAGACAATTCTCCTCTCATCCCACTGCTCTGTCCTGTCCCACCCCATGCCTGGTAGCACCTCTGCCACGCAGGTTTCCTGACAGCCCCCAGCAGAAAAGTGGAAAATCTGATGTCAGGAGACTGACAAAATAAAGACACCATTGTCACCCTCCCCTGCACATCACACAAGGGAACATGAGGTGCTTAGAAAGTAGAGGCACATACAGCCAGGCTGGTTTGGGAACAGGTCCGACGCATCGTGGGACGTGACGGACGGAGTCAGGTCGTCAGCTGAAGACTGTGTCTCCTCCTCTTCTTCCCCTGAAAGCAAATCCTTCGCTATTTGTTCCTTTTAACAACAACAAGAAAGTGGAAAATATTTTTACATTAAAAAAAAGCATATGAGGGGAAGCGAGGCCTAGAGTAAAGCAATTCTGGCCAAGAGTGGCCACATCCACAGACCTCCTCACCCTCCCACAGTCTGTCCAAAGACAGAGTCTCTCACACTCCCCACCACCCCCAGATTACTTTCCCCAGAAGCACTTTGACAAGTGTCAAGAGTGGCTCCCCACAGAAGCCAGAGAGGATGAGCAAGTGGCCCTTTCTTTAGAGCTCCACTCACAGCAATTAACTCAAGGAAAAACAAAAAAAGCAATTTCTACAGACTAGAAGAGGAGCCATGGCTTCACCTAGGAAGATACAAAGCTTCCCTGACCCTTCACACATCCACATCTACGTGTGAAGACTCATAACCCAAGTTCCATATAGAGTTTTTACAGAGTTTTTTAAACAGATACCCTTTCTCTCTTCTCCTCTAAACACTTTACATTCATATTTCTTCACCTGGTGTTCCTCACTGGGACACCAGAACTAGGCAGGTCCCTTTCCTGGCTTTGGTCAAACCCCTCTGGAAGAGCTCCTGGATACCTTGAGCTCCAGCACAGCACAGTAAGCTGCAGCAGACACCCATGAAGACAGCTGCTCTCACCTTATCCAGAGTCATGTCAGGGAGATTCGGAGTGATGTCATTGCTCTCACTGTCCTGCTCCGAGATGGGATCAGATGCCTCATAGCCATACAGTGCCAGCAGCTCCTCAAATGGCATTTCACTGCTCTGAGCAAGAGGAGGACAAAGCTGCATCAGGAACAGAACCACTGAGCACACCACCAGGGGTATGTACACAGACACAGAGGAGGACAAGGCAGCTCTGCTCCTCTAGGGCCCTGAGCAGTCTCTGGTAATGCTGTGCAATGACAGAGTCTGCCAGGACCACCATAACCTGTTCCTTCCAAAGCATGGAAAGGCCAGGAACTTTCACCCCAAAGCAAGTCAGTTGAGGCATTTTAAAAACAATTTATTTTTTCATACGAGATGTGAAGCTGGTGAGAAGGTGCCAGACAGCACAACTGTATTTAACCAGAGGAAGGGAAGGAGCCAACCCCTGTATTAGTCTCATCCTGAAGAGACACTTTCTGTCACCAAGAACATGGTTTGTGTTCCCCCAAGGTCTCCATGGGGACACCCACAGCAGGACCACATCAGCTCATCTTTGTGGCTCCTCCACTGTGAAACACTCCACACTCCCAACAGCCAAGGGGTCTTCAGCAAGCTGAGCCCAGACCACCTGCCAGAGTGGCTACTTGGCAGAGGAAGGCTCCAAAATTCACTGCTCTTGTCTGTTCTCAAAACCATTCCTTCCTACCCAAATGCAAGCCTGACTGCTGGACAGCCTGAACCCAGCACACTGCTGGCTGAGCAAGTCAGGGCTTCTCACCAAGCTCTTTGGTACTGTAAAAGCAAATCCAGCAGTAATTTCCCTTCCCCTATCCTGCTGCCTTTACCTGAGAGGCACTGAAACTCTTCTCCAGCTCTTCTAAAGATTTCTGCTTCTCCTGTGTCTCATCTTCCTCCCGTTCTTCCCGCACACCGTAGTTCTGTGAAAGGATCTCTGCCAGGTTCAGTCGGTGATCAGCTGAGCCCATTGACACAACTGCAGGGAGCAGAAGAAGTTGGATACTAGCACCATCATGGATGAAGTCTTGAGATGCAACAAAGCCATGGATTATTCCTTCTTGTGTGTGTGCAGAGGAAGAGATGAGGCAGGATGGAGGGAGGGAGGGGGACAGGGAACACTTCACCAGCACAAGGCTGAGTTCTCTGCACGTTTGGGTCCCACAGCTGACTGGGAGCTGAGTCTGGAACTTTGTGTGCCTCTCTAGACTGGACTCACTGGTGTCACAACATGTGAGCACTGCAGCCTTTCCTCCACCCAGGGCATTTTTAGGGTAATTACCCCTTATTCAACAACAGGCAAATGGACACCTGTAGGAGCTTTGGAATCTTTAAGCCTTTCCTCCTCTGTTAAATGGAAACTGACCTCCAGGCTCAGGAGGTGTTGGAAGGAGAAGGGAGCAGACAGGCTGACAACAAGAGCCTTGTTTCCTTTGGGACTGACCAACAAAGAGATGATCTCTGGGCTGCAGTACCTGCTGCGCTCTGAAGGGCAGGCTCTCCAGGACACAGGCTGTGGGCTGGGTACGGGACCACCCTCGGGCTCTGCCGGCCAACCGAGGCCTTCAGGGAGAGAGAAGAACATGGCTGAGAGCTCTTCTTAAAACATACAACACCCCTCCACCCACTGAACCCCACCAGCAAGTGCAATTCATTTAACTTCAAAGCAAAAGGTACCCAAGCCCACATGGGGCAGCATTAGGAACTGACAAGAGCTCATGAGGTGTCTTGAACAGTGGCATTCCGTGCTGGGTCAGAAGTTCAGCCAGCAGCACGGGCTGAGGCCTGGAAAACAGCCCAGAACTTCTGCTGCTCCCTGGGCTGCTGTGAATGGAATTGCTGCTTGTCAAGTTCAGCCCAGGGAGGGAGTAAGCAGGTAGTTAACCAAAGCCTTTGGGTGAGTGAGAGCACTCAAGTGCAGAAGAAAATCCCAGTGTCAGTGTCCCAGTCACCAAGGACATCTCTGTATGACCCTCAGCCATTACCAATCCCAGCCATGCACCATCACTCCTCACTTACTCAGAGGGAGCCAGGACATCTACGATGCTTTGACATGAGGCTCCTACAACTTCTTTAAGAAGACACAGTACAACTTCACATTGAAATTTATCCTCTAACAGTAAAGTACACACCAAAAAAGCCACCACAGACTGTGGGTTCTGAGTTGGTGCCTTCAGCTATCAACACACAGACTGCAGATTCCATGGCAGTGAAGAGGATGACTCCAGTCCGTGTGGCACACACACTGTGTCTGCTGTTCCTGAGCACCTGAGTACTGCCCCATGGAGACTCCAGACAGAGCCCAATGACTGTGCTCAAGGAAACAAAAGGAAAAGTAATGGGATGATGAAAGGATTCAGGACAGCATCCATTTGAGGATGGTCGTTCCAGGAAATGTGAACAAGTACAAAACCCTCTTGGTGAAATCCTTCGGAGCAAACAACCATGGTTTCGTGGAAAGGGTGTGGTCTACCCTTAGTCCCTCTGGTCTCCAGTGATTTGCAGAACTCTCTTTGCTCAGACAATGATCTATAGATCAATGGCACCTCCTTGTCCCGGGATCAATAAGTTGCTGCATGCAAAGGCCTCTGAAAACAAAGGCCGAAGCTGTTGGCAGGGATGGGCTGGCTTGAAAAGGTGTCAAGAATACTTCAAGAATGAGGAGATCTCCTATTAATGACCAGGTGCTGAAATGAAGAGAAATGGCCACTACAACAGGGTGACAATTCCCTAACTCATCACAAGTTTCTCTCTCCCAAGCAGTGATGGAGCACTAGAGCAAGTGGGAATGCCACGAGCTGGAGTCACCATGGAATCACCAGCACTGCTGAGTTGGGCTGAGAAAACACATGACAGACAAAGCAAATGGCCTATTCCAAACTGGTTTCCTCAGCCAGTCTAACACGTGTTTCAGATGCAGCAAAAGTTCCTTTGCCTTGTCCACACTCCTCAACACGGGAACATTTTCTACAGACTCCAGAGGGAAGCAGCACAGATAGAAACAGATTCATCCTGCAAGTTATGCATCTGGAAGAGCAAAGAATGAAGAGATGCCATGGCACATGGGACACCTCCTGCAGTGTCAGGAGGATCAGGGGCACAGTCACAGCTGTGCAGAGACACTGACAGCACAAACCCGACCCAGACGTGCTGGGACAGACCCGAGTGAGCCACAGGGTGCCAGGCTGGCACTTCAGCCCAGCAACAGGCCCAGGGAACACTCCAGCACAGAGAAATGCAGTGCTCCACCAAGGGCCAAACTGTGGTGGATGGGCTGACAGGCCAGACAGCACCTTCCTCTGCAGAGCACCACAACTCCCCGAGGGGAAGCTCTGTCTTTGGAATGATCCTGCTACAGGGCAGCAAACTACCTCCACATCTTCCCAGTGCCTTTCCTCCACGTTATGATCACCACGAGGATCTCGGGGTGGAAATGAAGTGCAGATGTGTCATAGCAACCATTACACCAAGTCAGGGATGTTTGAGGAGCACCACAAGACTGGATGGGGCACAGCTTCACCTGCTCCAAGTGTGGTAGAGTGATGGCAGGAACGTTTTGGCACGACGCACCAAGATGATCACAGCGTGGCAATGGGGGAAGCAGTGAGGGGATCCCCACCTGGTACCAGAGCACCAACCTCCCTCTCCTGCCAGAGAGAACCACCCCGACAAACCGTTCCCACCACCTTCGCCAGCCCTCGGACATCCCTACAGCCCTGACCCCCTGCTCGGGGGTATCTCAGCTCCAGCCCCTGACCCCGGCAGTGACC